CACCCCCTGGAAGCACCAGCCACACAAAACCGGAAGTGCTGGCTCAGCGATCGGCTGCTGTGAGACCCCCTTGGTTGGCAATTAGCCACTGGGGAACCCCCTTCCCCCGCCAGTGATCTGATGTCCCCCCAGACTCGGGAGGCACCAGTCACTCATGGATAGGGGTGCCTGAGAAACTGAGTTGAATGTAAATATAAAAGCAGCTGCTAAATTTCAACACTATACATGAACAGACCCGGAGATGCCATAAAGCCCTGTGCATGCCACTTGTATTAGAAATACACAACACGACACAATTAGTTGCATTGAAGATGTTAGGCCTGGCTGCATAGCAAGTGTGCTACTCCAGGTGAATGAGAATTTTCTACCACATAACAATGCACAAGAGATTTTTGCTGTGTTTTCAGTGGATTAGAGTACAGTACAGTTTGAAAGTTTGCAACTTGTAATCTGAAGATACAGGAAAAAGATATGTTTTTCATATTCCCCCATTTTTATTAATGAATTAGAGCCCAAATTAGTACAGCTTTAGCAGATCTGGTCAGCAAGGCTGTCTCAACAAAGAGAATTTGTATTTAATTTGTTTGGACGTGATACTGGGATTAGGAATCCTGAATTCTCCTCACAGATCTTCTACTGCACTGAGGCTGAACAGTTTTTGGTAGATGTGTCACAAATTAACCTGGAACTCTCCCCAAGTGCCACTCAGATCTTCATCTCTGCCTAATCTGTTGCTGTTTTCTGCTCCCTCCCCTGTGCTCCCTGCCTAATCTGTTGCTCTGCTCTCTGCTTCCTTCCTTATCTGCTGCTGTGCTGCCTGTCCCTAATCTGCTACATGCTGCACATGGAGGTTGCTCATGCCACTTGTGGTACCCATGCCTCAAGTTGGTCACCCCATACTATTGAATCTCTGTAAATCCAGACAATTTCAGTAACTCTTCTCTGGCACAGGTTATCTCTCCATAAAATGAATGTAACTGCTGACTAGACAGGACAATTTTGTGGATTAAACTCTTAGCAATGATCTGCATAAAGATGATCTACATGTTTGAAATTTTCTTTAACTTCTTTGCAGCTATTTTTCCAAGAGGTTGATTGTACATACACAGATAGAAGTGATAGTTTTTGCCCAATCTAGCCACAGAAAGCTGTTTCTAGCTGTGACCAAACAAGTGTATGGCTGCAAACAGCTTTAAAAAATGGCTGATCGAGTGAAAATTTGACCCCTTATTGCATGAGGTATCAAGTAACGATATTTAAAATGTAGCACCTTCTGTAACTCATGGCTGCAGAGCTCCCAGCCTGTCACTGTTTTCAGAATGAGAGCAGAGGGAGTTCAGTCTGGGGTTTTTTCGATGCCCCCCCTTGAGGGGGGGGCAGGTGTATTGGAGCCCCCCCCAAAGGGGGGGGGCTCCAATTCACCCACCCCTCCCTTGAGCACCAGCTGGGGAGCCCCAAGAATGAGCTCCCTCTGCTCCTTCCATCTCATATTGGCAGAGAGCCTAGCCATTGCTATGGGAACCTGGCTGCAGGCTCCCAGCCCCTGGAACCAACAGTGAACTTTTGCTTGGTCTGGGGTAACCTTGTAACTCAAAACACTTTGCAGAAATCATTCTGAGTTACAGCTGGAAGCTGCACTTCTGTCTATTCTCAGGTGTTCTCTGCTTTGTTCTGAGGATTCATATCATGCAACTTTATCTCTGACCATGACTCAGACTTTTCACTGGCAGTGGAGTAAATGGCCTTTGCGCACTGGCTGCATTCATTTTGGAAATGTAAACGCTTGGCTTATGGCAATATTGTTTGTGCCAAAGAATGTGTATTTGCAGAATATGCAGGATATTTTTATATGGTCCTATAATGGATGAAAGAAAATGGAAAACATTTTAATAAAGTTACAAATACATTGATGCTTCCAATGTCTTCATCTGCCTTCATCTGAGTGAAGTTGTGTGATGATGTCATTTTTTAAATCTAAAAGCTACTCGTCTTTTATATTTTGAGTGTTGTATGTTAGCAACATGGTTCACATTTCCAGTGGGTCATAGTGGAGATAAATAAAATTTGGGAATTTTTGTAAGTCATTATGAGTTTCCTATTCTTGCCTTCCCCCTACCTCCCATTATTTTTTGCTTTAAATTTAACTTTTAGCAGTTAGTTCCAGACCAACTTGTAATTATACACCCATTGCTCTAGAATATTGCAAACAATAGGGTACTAAATATATTAGCTGATTTGCTGACTGTGACTGTAAAACATTTTGTAGGTATGGGGTGTTGGCCTAAAGCAAAATAGCATGGACTCTGATATGATTTTATTTTCCTTGCTGCCACAGTTTCATTATACCAGTTTTATGCACTGCCATAGGTTCATAGATGTTAGGGTTGGAAGGAACCTCAATACATCATCTAGTCCGATCCTCTGCATAGGCAGGAAAGAGTGCTGGGTTCAGATGACCCCAGCCAGATACCTATCTAACCTCCTCTTGAAGACCCCCAAGGTAGGGGAGAGCACCACCTCCCTTAGGAGCCCATTCCAGATTTTGGCCACTCTAACTGTGAAGAAATTCTTCCTAATGTCCAGTCTAAATCTGCTCTCTGCTAGCTTATGGCCATTATTTCTTGTGACTCCCACGGGCACCTTGGTGAGCAGAGCCTCACCAATTCCCTTCTGCACCCCCATGATGAATTTATAGGCAGCCACAAGGTTGCCTCTCAACCTTCTCTTGCGGAGGTTGAAGAGGTCCAGGTGCCCTAGTCTCTCCTCATAGGGCTTGGCCTGCAAGCCCTTAACCATACGAGTGGCCCTTCTCTGGACCCTCTCCAGGTTATCCACATCCCTCTTGAAGTGCAGTGCCCAAAACTGGATGCGGTACTCCAACTGTGGTCTGACCAGTGCCCGATAGAGGGGAAGTATCACCTCCTTGGTTCTGTTTGTCATGCATCTCCTGATGCACGATAAAGTGCCATTATCTTTGCTGATGACTTTGTCACACTGACGACTCATGTTCATCTTGGAGTCCACTAGGACTCCTAGATCCCTTTCCGCTTCCATGCTGCCAAGCAGGTCATTTCCTAGGCAGTAGGTGTAATGGACGTTTTTCCTCCCCGGTTCAGCACCCTGCATTTTTCCTTGTTAAATCATATTCTATTGTTTTCTGCCCATTTTTCCAACCTGTCCAGGACTGCCTGTAGTTGTTCTCTGACCTCCAGCGTGTCCACTTCTCCCCACAGTTTTGTATCATCTGCAAACTTGGACAGAGTACACTTCACTCCCTCATCCAAGTCAGTGATGAAGACATTGAAGAGTATCGGTCCAAGGACCGAGCCCTGTGGGACCCCACTGCCCATGTCCTTCCAGGTCGATACCGACCTGTCTGTCATGGAGCGGGGGTCCTAGGAGCGGCCCTGATCTCCCCTAGCGCCCCCTACCATGCCGAGTTTACTTCAAGCACCCTGAAAATCTCATCTGCCACATCTTGATCTTAAATATTAAAGGGAGGCTGCCTTTCGTCCTCTTGGACACTGTTTTCTCCTGTTGGCACTCGTTTTGTCCTTACAATGGGGTTTCCGTGCACCCTGCCCTTATGGGCAATGCGTGGCTCCAACCTCCCCTTTACCACGCCCCAAGCCTCACTGATGTACCGGACGTTGTTCAGTCTGTCTCACTCTCCGCGCCCTCTCTGGCGCTTGGGCTCTCCATGGCCCTTATCTCGCAACTGCGCCCCACTGGCACTCTGGCTTCTCGCTGCCTCTTTTACTCTAGGGCTTCTTGCTGCCTTGGGGTTCAGGTGGTCATAGCCGTGCCTGACCCCCAAATCTCCTCCTTGGGGTCTTGAACCTTCTGCAGGGCTCAGGCGGCCTTGGCCTTACCTGCCCTCCAAGTCTCCGCTCCCCTTCTCGGGGCTGAGGTCAGTGCACCCCCGAATGCTGCGCCCTCTCTGGCACCGGGGTCAGTGCACCCCAAATGCTGCGCCCTCTCTGGCACTGGGGTCCCCACACTACCGTGGATCCCCAACGAGGCCTCCTCCAACCCCTAATAGCCTCACCCAAACCACCATTAGTAAACAGCAAAGAGAAACTCAAGCCTCTTGGCTACAACATAAATTCAAGCTGCTTGGCTATAACACTAGTCCCAGCACATCAGGGGTGCTCTATCCTTCCCCCAGTCTCACAACTATACCTGCGGTCTAGCCTCTCCTCTTTGGTCAGTACGGCAGAACTCCTTCTTCTATGGCTGCTATCAGGGAACTCCCTGCCTGGCTTCAGCCTGGGAATTATATAGGGGCCAGGCCCTGCCCCTTCCTGTCAACTGACTTCTACTGGTTGCCCTGGCAACCTGCATCTGGGCTCCTTACCTACTGCTTCCTAAGTAGCAGGCATCTCAGTACCCTGCTACACCACCGCTCTCTGGGTACGACCCTCTAGCCAATTTGCCACTCACCGGACTGTGTAATCATCCAAGTCACAGCCTCTTAATTTGCTCACCAGTATGGGGTGAGATACTGTATCGAAGACCTTCCTGAAGTCTAAATAAATTGTATCTTCCCCTACTCCTGTGTCCAGGTGTTTTGTAACCTGGTCATAAAAAGAAACTAGATTAGTCAGGCACAATCTACCTGCTACGAACCTGTGCTGCTTTCCCTTCAGCATAATTTTTCCTGCCGGGCTCTCACATATATGAGCCTTAATAATCTTTTCAAAGACTTTACCAAGGATAGAGGTGAGACTGACTGACCTGTAGTTGCCTGGATCCTCCTTCCTCCCCTTCTTGAAAATAGGAATAATAATTGCATCTGCAGGTGAAAAATGTCCCAGGATAAGTACCTGATACAAAGTCTGTATGTGGAACTGTCCTAAATCTGTGTCTATACTGGGTTGAGCTCTCACTGAGAACTTGAACAGAAGCCTGGAGCCCTAAATCCAGGGACCTTTCTTTAGTCATTGGATTTCTGTAGTTGTTCACCGTGTTCTAACCATTTTTTCTTAATTCCCTTTCAGTAATTTGCTGTCCAACCCTTTTAACTGTAACTGCCACCTGGCATGGCTAGGAAAATGGCTGATGAGGAAGAGAGTTGTCAGTGGAAATCCCCGTTGCCAGAAGCCTTTTTTCTTAAAAGATATTCCAATTCAAGATGTGGATGCCAAGGACTTCACCTGTGACAGTAAGAAAATCGGATGGGTTTGGTATTGAATTTGTACACTAGCAACTTTCCTAGTGTTCTTTATCTCACTGTGTTTGAATAAAAATAGCTGAAGTAAAATGGTTCACGAACAAGAGACAATATCTCTTAGATGTTGTTGTCCCATACCAAAAAATTAATTTTATCTCTGTTGGTATATTAGCTGGGCACCCCTCCCCTCCAAGCATGGAGATACGCATCTGCAGACCTACAGTGAGATGCAGCACTCATCCCAAAGACCTTACAGTCAGGACATAAATAATGAATGGGTATCATATATAGATTCAGAAGGTTGCGTGTTTGTTTGCAAAATCAGTGTGTCATTTAACATAAGATATACAAATTAGTTTAATAAACACCGAGGGAGTGGGTGGCAGAGGCCATGAGTTATGGTAAAAGATCACATGGTTACTTAATTGAGTTATGTGCATATCTTGATTGCACTGTCACATAATAATAGGATTTTTTTTCCTTTCCTATTTTCCCCCCTCCATCATTCTCAATACAGATTAGCACTTCTTAGAAAGACACATTCATGAATAAAAATTGCTTGGATAATTTCACAGCTTTCTAGCATGAGAGTCAGTCTTGTTTATACTTAAAGGTCCCATCATACATCTGGCAGATTTTTAAGGTCAGGAGAAAAAAGGCATCTGTGCTTCAGTTAACCCCTGTGCTAGCAGATATTCAAAGGGAATATGACCACACATTTTGAAACTGTACCACTGTATTTCAGTGCTTAGGGCATTCATTGTACTTGCATTCATAAACATTTATATTTTTTTTATCGTTTACATCTAAAATATGCACCCTACACATTCCTTCCATATGCATCTCAATACTACAGCTTGCATTTTTCTTTTGTTTTGTGAAGGCTGTTGTTTTTGAGTAAAATCCAGAGTTGAACATTCTTCACTTCAAAGACTTTGTTTCTTCCATGAAAACCCTGTTGTTCTTCACTTATGAGATATAATTTGTTGTTTATAGAAGTTTTGAATCCAGTTTAGGAGCATTAGATATTTTATGTATGCACAGATGGATCACCATCTATTCTGTGTATGTTGCTCAGTTTGTTTTTTTTGCCTGGTTATGCTTGTCAAAAGCAACAAGGCTTTTCAATGAAAATGATAAATGAAATGTTATGCTGACATTAAAAGTCACACACTTAACTAAAAGTTGTATTTAAAAAAGAAGATTATTTATAAAACATGAAGTAGGTGATGATTGTCTTATGTCAAGATAAGCTTGAGGGTAACATTCTGTTAAACTTCTCTGTTTCAGCTAACACAGCAGGGAGTGAGAGCGTCTGTCTAGTTGAAACTAATTTGTGGTTTTCTTTTGGCTAAAACTACTTCCTTTTAAACAAATTGCCACAGAATTTTACAAGATATTTTTGCACCCTGAGTCTAGTGTTCTCTTTATGCTCACTAAACCCTGGATGGGGTCAGAAAGAGATTAAATATTAGGGACCAGTTTAAAACCCAGTAATGGCTGTCATAGATTTATGGTTGTCACTGTTTTGTGCTAGATGTGAACGTCTATCGTAGAAGCAAACTCTTCTAGGCTGTGAGGCGGATTTCTTTCTCAAGTGTCAGAAGTCCTCTCATGTTTCTTTCTCTCTCTCTTTCTCTAGGTAATGATGAAAGCAGCTGTCTCCTTTCTCCTCCTTGTCCTGCCCAGTGTACCTGCATGGATTCAGTGGTACGCTGCAGCAATAAAGGTCTGAAGATCCTGCCCAAAGGCATCCCCAAGGATGTGACTGAACTGTAAGTTATATTTTATGTAGCTCTTTTCACAAGAACTAAAGTGTATGAGTTCATGAAGCTATACAGAAGAAGGTAGCTGCCAGGCATATTTTGGACCACGGGCATTTTGCTATTGACTTCCATGAATGAAGGGGTAATCCTTGTACTTTGATATGTTCCATGTATTTCAATTTTTGTTCACTTTTTCTTATGCCCCATTAAGCTGAAACTTTATATAACACTTCGCATAGGGAAGACAGGTCATTTAAAATTGTGCACCAGCCCATATAGGTGTGTTTCCTTTCATTCTATATATGGAGGAAAAATGAATAAATCAATACTGAATTCTGCAGTACATTTCCAGCAGCCTGAGTTAACAATGGGCAGTTTGAAAAAATGATGAAAAATGTATTCCCTACATGCACATCTGTGGGGTAATTATCCGGCCACGTGACATTTTTCAAAAGAAACAGCAGTGAAAACAAACAGTGGATTCTTTTCTCCAAAGCACATGAAATGACTAAAATAACAGATAATTAGATTAAATTGTAAAGTAAACTTGCATGTATTGAGGGTAACCTTTCTATCTTTTTTTCATTTCCTATGAATTTTTACATTGGTTTTTCATTCTTTACATTGAAAGAAAACAATATTGGAGGAACCAAATAGATTAAACAGTTTGGTAGTAGGAATATAGAGCTTTTCACCGCAAGGCCACTGAGACTGGGTGAGAAGTTACTGTCCCCATATGATGACTGTTTATATATGAATAAAGTTGGGCAGCAACTGATGACAGTGTAAGCAACTTGGTGATTTAAATTTATTTCTCATGAATAGGCCAGTGCATCTGATTGACACTACTTAGCATTATCGTTGGTAGTCAGAAAGGAAGAAAAGAATGCAGTATGAACACTTTCTCTCTTAACATTAGTTCCGATAGTTCTTGGAAATAAATTGTGCTGTGCTATTGCGCATGTTGTACCTGTTGTGTGGAGTCTTTATTCTATAACACTAGGTGGCACTTTTAATGGGCATCTGGTGTGTAGGCGTGTTTATACGAGACGTTTACTGTAGTTGACTAATTAGCTTCACTGTAAATGTCTCAGCATCCACATGTCTGCCCCTATTAGGCTGAAGTAAATTAATGTACTCATCAGCAGCATAGTATTTGTAACTACTATCCTGCTGCAGAGATTTTTACCCCCCAGGTCCTTTGCTAGCCAGGGCTGCTCTGACCTGGCTCAACATGCTGCACATGAATAAACTCCAGAGTTTATTGCTCCTGGGCGCATGTTCAAATAGTGTACCCAGGAGCAATACGCTTCAAAGTTTATTCATGCACAGTAATAGCATGTATAGACACATCCTGTATGTGGTAACACATATTAAAGGAGATTGTGGGTCCTCTGCATAAATACATACAATATCAAGAAACTACTTATCGACTAAAATGCTTAGAGTCACTGTTTACTTGCTAAAGTTCACAGTGAATGAAAAAGAAGCCTACTTTGGAAGGTGACTTAGGTGTTTTGTGGAATTTCATGTTTATCATGTCTGAATTATTCCAGATCAGATTTGTCCATTATGAGTAATATGGTTTGAGCTGAAAGTCAGATTCATTCCTATTCTTCTTATTTCATCACCAGGGATCCAGATTTTCCATTTGCCATGGAAAAACACAGATTTTCTCCTTTAAAGGAGAACAACCTGGGGAACCAGAGATTTCTGCTTGCAGACCAGCTGAGTTCCAGGCTGCAAGAGGCTGGGGCATGTGGGATGCAAGGGGCAGGGGGAGCCACGTGTATGTATGCATGCACACATGCACATGACAGCCAGACAGTGTGGTGGAGAATAGCTCCTGCAACTCCCTCCAAGTAAGTCTGTAGGGGCAGGGAGAGGGAGGCTGTCAAGTACAGGCCATTGATGTGATGGGGGAGATAGGAGCACATGCGATGCAGTGTGGTTCGGGGTATGTGCTCCCCCTATCCCAGATTTCTGCACCCACAGCAGGGTGCGGGGCTGTGGCCGGGCTAAACCTGCACAAGGCAGGAGCCACCTACATGGCCTAGCAGGCAACACCCAGTGTGGGAGGGAGCACCGTACTGCCTTGGCTACCAAGGTGAACCCCACCCTCCCCCACCTGGCAGCAGCAGGGTGCCACAGCTGCATCTCATCTTGGCAGCTCAGTGCCCCCTCCCATGCTGGGTCCCACCCACTGAGCCGTAGAGATGGCTCCTACATGGAGCTGGTCCAACCTGGCTGCAGCCCCACTGTGGGTGCAGAAATCTGGGGGGCATATGTCCCCCCTCACCCCTCCCATGCATCACCTATGTCCCTCTGCTCCCCTATATGTCACCTGTTCCCACACCACCCATTCCCTATGTACCCACCCCATTCCTCACATACTGTGGGGGCCGAGGCCTAGAGGCAGCAGGTAAGGAGTGAGGGGTATCATCAGTGCTGGAAGGGCTATGGATTGGGAGTGAGGGGTACTGGCAGGGTCAAGGGACTGTTGGTTGGGAGTGAGGGGCACCAGCAGTGTTGGGGGGCCTGTGGCTTGGGGGTGAGGGGCAATGGCATGGGCAGGAACACTGCATCAGCATATCACGGCTGCTAAGCACCATATAGCAGCAGGAGGGACAGCTGCAACTGGACCCACATCCTGGTGAGCTCTGATTTTTCCATGGTAAAAAAACACAGTTAAATGCCAAAATATTTAGGTATTTAGAATAATAAGGAAGAGCACACACCAATTGCTGAAACTTCCTCAGCCTGACAAAGGGTTTTTGAACCCGAAAACTTGCTTAAAATTATTTTCCAACTACTTAAGTTGGTCTAATAAAGGATATCAGATTCACCCAAAGAACCTTGTCTGCCTAGGTATTTAGAATGTATTTTATTGTAATGATTGAGGCACTGCTAGGCTTCCAAATGGCTTTAAAATTGTAAATATATCAATACAATATCATGTTCAACTGATACCTATATATAGTGGTGTTTCATTTTAATCATGGAAAAACATGGATTTGGGGGTCTTTCATCAGAGAATTTGTGATTTTTAAACAAAGAAAACCAGGATCCCTGGTCATTACCAGTAATAAAGAATCAGCAGGCCAGAGGCTGTGCCCACCTTATGCGTATGTCCTATCACTGCTTTCACACATGCTTTGTAGACAGAAAAAAATCACAGGTATTACATTTAGTTCCATATAGCTCGAACACTAGGAAGTTTTTAAGTTCAGTGCTGTTATATTAAGTGTAGGTGTGTGGTTTATACAATATACTGGTGACATTAATTTAATTCCTATTTTGATAGTAATCATAGAATAGAAGGCCCTGAAGGGACCTGTAAGATCATCAAGTCTGGTCCCCTGCCATGGACAAGAGGCAACTGGGCTCAAACAAGCTCAATGAGGTGCTTTTCCAGTCTCCTTTTAAACACCTCCAGAGATGCTGACTGCACCACCTCTGCTGGAAGTGTATTCCAGATTCTGGATACCCTTACAGAAAACACGTTTTTCCTTATGTCTAGCCTAAATTTTTCCTCAACTAGCTTATGCCCGTTGGTCCTCATCCTCCCAAGGGGTACTTTTCTGTAGAGTTGCTCCCCTAGATCTTGGTGTTTGCCCCTGGTATGCTCGTAGGCGACTATCAAGTCACCTCGCAGTCTTCTCTTATTCAGACTGAACAAACCCAGTTCCCGGAGTCTCTTCTAATAGGGCCTATACTCCAGGCCCCTAATCATACAGGTGGCCCTTCTCTGTACCCTTTCGAGCTTATCCACATCCTTCTTGAAATGCGGTACCCAGAACTGGACACAGTACTCCAGCTGTGGCCTCACTAATGCCGAATAGAGGGGGAGGAGCACCTCTCTGGATCTATTTGCAATATATCAGCTGATGCACGCCAGAGTTGTATTTGCTTGCTGGCGACTTCATCGCACTGTTGGCTTATATTCATACTCTGGTCTATTGTCACCCCCAGGTCCCTTTCAGATGCAGTGTCAGCCAGTGGACCACTACACATAGTATAGTTATGGTGAAGGTTCTTCCTACCCAGATGAAGGACCGGGCACTTGTCCCTATTGAATCTCATCTGATTGCGTTCAGCCCATAGGACCAGTCCAGATCATCCTGGCTCTTTACCTTATCCTTTGATGTGCCCACATTTCCCCACAGCTTGGTGTCATCCACAGACTTAATCATCATGCTTTCCACCCCCTCATCCAAGTTGTTGATAAAGATGTTAAAGAGCATGGACCCAAGCACTGATCCCTTGGGACACCACTGGAGACAGCCCTCCAGGATGAGGCCATCCCATCAATTACAACTCTCTGGAACTGGCCTCTGAGCCAACCCACCTCACTGTACAGTGGTCTAGGCCAGTACCCTGTGACTTAATTGAGAGAATCTCATGGGAAATAATATCAAAGGCCTTGCTGAAATCTAGGTAGGTGATGTCAACCTCATGTCCCAAGTCCAGGTGGTTAGTTTCCTGGTCATAAAAAGACACCAGGTTGGTTAGGCATTATCTCCCCTCAACAAAGCTGTGCTGGTTGCTTCTTAATACCCCACCAGTTACAAGGTTGTAGTTGAGGGCCTCTTTGACAATTTTTTAAAAGACATTTCTCAGGACCGAAGTCAGACTGAATATAGTTTCAGGGTCATCCCTCTTCCCTTTTTTAAAGATGGGTACCAGGTTAGCCTTCTTCCAGTCATTCAGAACCACTCCTGAGTTCCACAACTCTTCGAACAGCCTCACCAGAGGCACCGCTATGAGATCGGCCAGTTCTTTGAGGACTCTTGGATGCAGGTCATCTGGCCCAGCAGACTTGAAAACATCCAAATGTTCTAAGAGTACCCTTACTTGTTCAGGACTGATTTCATGCAGACTGCTGTCTTCCCCATATTCTCTGGGCCTCTAGGTAGGTAATGAGTTCCTGTCTGATTTCAAGGATACTGATGTGAAGTAAGTATTTAGGAGCTCTGCCTGTTCATGGGGATTCACTGTGTGCTGCCCCA